ACTTTTACTAGCATTAGTGTTTATATTAAAGGTCATGTAATACATGCACTTTATGGAGTAACAGAATCACAATACTATACAGAACACAGAATAAGAAATTATAATAAGAATTATAACATATTAATTATTTCGAAGACAACTGGATAAGGACGCCTTACGGTTCAAAGATTACCAAAATTTCAATCAGTCTATGGAATTGTTTTGAATTAGCAAATAAATTATTGTCAAAAAAAGCAGTGAAAGGCTTGTATAGAGAGTTCAATGCATTGCTTGGTAAATTTTTTTTTATAAGGTTTCAATTTATTTTATTTATTTATGATTTTAAATTAAAAATATAAAGTGCATATCACCCAACTAAACTAATTAGATTGAGATAGACCAGCCCGAAGTGATCTCTACAAAGTTGTATCTATTTTTGATTTTCAATAATAATACTATTAGTTATATTACCGCTCAGTTTAAAAAATCTAAATGCTAAACATGAAATATGTATTACTAGGTTAATTTTATTCTGAATTTTAGAATATCAACAATTTAAAATTCTATTTTCAATATGAGAAAATTTGTACGTCAAGTGACGACAATATGTTAAATGAGAATTAATTGTTTTATAGTATTTTATCGCCAAATGTTAAAATAGTACACCGTTAAAAAATTACATGAAAAAATATTTTTCAGTAATAACGCAACTTTTTTTTTTTGGTGTGAGTGGAGGTATTGTAAAATTATGGGCTTATAGTTCCAATTTTCTCTATAAAGGGTCGTAAATTTTAAAGCACCTAAAAGTGATGAATATTTAAATACACGCTTGCTTAAGACTAACTTCAATAGAACGTTTTATGTTCATCTATAAAATATAACTAAAGGTTCAATAAAAACGATTTTTAAAACGTTATCTTAAAAAACATACAATTTTTGTAATACTCTTTGTATTCTCCAGAGACGCAGATGATGTTACATATTGACAAACGTAGAACATAGTAAAATAAACAAAATTATTTTAAACGTCTTTCTTCATTAAATAGAAGTAGTTCTTAGCATTGATGCATTTTTGATACGCATTCTTAACCAGAAAATCCTATTTTATTATCCCTTTCCCTGTTTAACGTACCATTCGCCTAGGATCAAAGGGGTTTTGTGCTTTCATGAATAAAGCATTGGGTACATGTAGTTGGAAACAACAAGGGATGCAATTTTAACGAACATACATATTTTATTTTCATATTTATATATTTTTTAAAAAGATTTATGGTTCAGTTTATAAGGTCTTATAAAGTTTATATAGATCTTAAATGATAATGATATCGCGTACAGATAATCCCAGACTACAGTCACAGACTATTATGGTTTACAATGTTAACGAATATTCCACTCGAGGATAGACTTTAAAATGCTGCCCTTTAAACACATTACAACAATGAAATTATTATAACAGTATCATTAATTTAAAAAAATATATATTTATATATCATCAGCCTTTCAATTTTTTTAATTTGAGCTTAGAATTAAGTAAAAACATTTAAATAAATGTTAATTATTTAAGTTAAATTAAATAATGGTTATGTATAACTTTTTCTTAGCTTTTTGTACAAAAAACTCTTTAATAACATTATTCCTTTTAAAATAAAATTATTAATTTAAAACTAAAAAATATTTAACTCAAAAAGACACAAAAAAAATTAATAAAACATCGCGAATACATATTTCGGGAATAATATTATTAACGCAAAGTAAACGCTAAATATATATATTTAGGGAATAGTAAAGGTATTAATGGAGATTTAATACTTATAAATTATTGATTAACTACAAATATCTAATTCGTACTAAAACAATGCCACTTATTAACAGTTATAACTTTTAATTATGTTAATTATATTATTAATTAATTAAAATTAACTTATAGGGACTAAAGAAAAATCGACAGAGTATATTGTTAAAGTAGAACGTTGACCATTTTGCTTAACTAAAATACAATGTCAAAATCTAATGTATAACTTTGCAAAAAAAATAGCATTTCTCATAATATTAATAATGATAACAAAATGAGAGGAAAAGGAAGGCTAGTTAATTTAATTTATAAACTAAATTAAGTTTTAGGAAACCATAGGCCACTTCTGTTGGAAGACTCACGTATTTCAAGTTAATTTAGATTTATTATTTAATATCTAAAAAATATTCGGATCAAATTAAGCACATCAAGTATATAATATAAATGAATCTGGTATCCCCTCTCCTTTAATTGTATCGAAAATTGCTAAAAAAAGCGTGACTTTTTAATTTCTCTTGTATGTTAAAATTTTTTTACTTAACATTGGAGTTATCATTAAAAAATCTTTAATGTTTATTTATTTTTCATTCATTAGAAGAAATCGTTCTATGTCCACTCATTTTCTTTGCTTCAACTAAAATATTATCGTATCTATTTATTCGTACAAATATTTTCAGATATTCATACAGAAAAACAAACATATAATAAATTAATATTAATACTTTATAAATGTATATTTGTAGTATCAAATCTTTCTAATATTGAAATTCATAAAATTACTATAAATGAGAACTTGAGTTTGTTTTATGTGTGAATTCTGCTTCATGTCTTAAATTAATTTTTTACGCCAAAAAATGTATATTGTGTGTCAAATAATTACCATAATATTGTATGACTCATTTTTTAAACAATAATTGTTCCTTTAATTTAAATACATTAGAAAACTTTAATGTTCGTTTTCTTTATTAAACAATTTACCGTTCAAGTGTTACCTTAGCCCGGCACTAATGGTTTTTCCATGGTAAACTAAATGATCAAGTAAAAATAATCCGCTAATAATAACACTTTAAAAAATATCAATTAGTTCTTGCGTTATAAAAATAAATACTTATTTTAATGCAAAATAAATTACAAATTACAATTTTTTTTATTTTTCATCAAAAAATGGTCTCCGTCACCCTTATCCCTAAACTTCTACTTGACACGATCACCCACATTATCTACGTTCACATCAAACGTCTTCATATCGCATTCAATAGCATCCCTCCATCTCTTTTTGATCTTCCTCTACCTCTTCTTCTTTCAACATTCATTTCTGTTTCTGTTCTTACAGCTTCCAATTCCTCTCTCCTCATAGCATAACCAAACTATTTAAGTCTATTTTCTCTCATCTTATCTTATTGACGCTACACCTAAAGTCCCTCTTATAAATTGATATAACATATTGCTAAAAGAAAACAATAAATATATATTTATAAAAGTTAGGCTTTATTAAGTTTAAATTCGTCCGATTATACTTTACAATGCAAGGCGTGAAAATAATGAACTCATAAGAAAAATAATTGGTAACATTTAAAAGAAAAGTACTTCAAAAAAGTATTTATAATATGAATCAGAATTTAGAAAGTTAGTTGCACAGGAAATGTGCGTCGAATTAAAGACAGTCTCACGGAACAAAAACAAGAAAATGATAGAATAATAAGGAGAGTCCTAAAATTTTCATGGATTGAAATAACTATAGGAAAATATCATAGTAAAGTCAAACACGGATAAAATCGCTTTTTTGTCATTAGTGATGTATTAGTAGTTAAAAGTCTATCTTACATAAAATACAATTCCTATTTTTTAATTAAATGTAACGTCTTTGATTTTAAATGCAATACTAAGTTCTCTAAACATTTTTTTTAAAGTTTAGAAACAAGTATACATTACCAAATATTTGTAATACTCCAGTATTACATATACACATGGTATAATTATATGTAATACAACAAACAAATGTTTTCAAACATTAAAAAGTTCATATTCTTTAGGCCCTCCAACATCTTTATTACTAACTTATCTATTATCATCTTGGTGTGCTAAGGTGGTGACTTCATTAATGTGTATTTTAAAATTTATAAGGAAACCCTCCTACATGCCACATGATAAACTCTTAAATGTGAAGAAAAACTGCATATTATATTCTAGCAGACTAAACAAGAGCCAGATCAATAATGGTGTCTTTCTAAATACGCACCATTTACTATGTTTCATTTTATTTAAAATTATAATTATAATAATTTTATTTAAAATAACGTGTTACTGTAATGATAATTGTTAATTTTTAATTATTAATAATACAGTAAACAACTTTATCGAAATAGTTATCTTGATTGTACACTAAAATAATAATTATATAAAAAACAATTGTAAAAATCCAAAAAGATTGACATTCCGGTACCGGGAATCGAACCCGAGCCTCCTGGGTGAGAGCCAGGTATCCTAGCCACTAGACCATACCGGATCTTGAGTTTAATTGTAAAATTACTTTTTTTAAGTAAAACATAGAATTTGAAAAATTTTTTATACAAGTTGTAATATATAAATATATTGAAGAATATTATCTAAAATACAATTTTTTACCAGAAAAATCACACGAAAGTATAATATTAATAATGATATTCTATAGTCCAATATATAATAATTTTATTACTATTATCAACAAACAATATAGTTAAAAACAAATACTAAATACATATCACAAAGAAAAAATTTAGATACTCCATTTTATTCTAAAATTTTAAAATATTATTTTTTTTAAAAACATTTTGGTGGATCGTTAATCCATTTTAGTACTCTACTACTCTATTAGGGTAATATAATAATCAAAATTTAAAAAAAAACGTTATATTTCGAAACATAACATTTTTGAAATGACTAATCTATATAAGTTTTTAATATTTTAGGGTGCTAAGTATATAAAGCGTCTATGATTTTTTAGAAAGAATTTTAAGGAATTTCATAATACAATAAACTCTTTGAGAGCTTTAGTATGTTTAGAAATGTATATTTAGAACTTTGTTTGCATTCGTATTAAAACGTTTTAAGACAATAATATTGACTTTGTCCGATTTCAATATTGACTAGTGTATACTGTGTCAATGGTTTATTCGTCTTACATAAATATGATATAGGCTGTGAGGCTTCATCCCCATAATTTCATAATAAATTAACAATTAGTACTTACTGTTGGATCCGACATAAATTGGCGTCCAAGCTAGTTGTTGTGAACTCACAATAACTGCACTATTGTAGAGTAATACCAACAATAACTGAGAAATTAATAACAAAAACACTTGAAATGCTGACATATTTTTTGTCATTCTATTTTCCAAGCTTTGAGGTTTGAGATCACTTTGTATGATTATACTGAAAAACTTCATTCATTAATCTAGATACTTATGCAATAAAGTTTTAATTATGATTGTAGTAGTAGAATCCATGGTTTTTAAAAAACTTCAGAGCATCACATTTTGCTTAATTTATAAATATCAACAACCTGTAAAACAAAATAAAAAATGATTCTAAATATATAAGATTATTAATGTTTGGTAATTAAATTGAATTACAAATTACATAATATGATATGTAAAGAACTTTTATTATTTTTATTAAAAAAAGGAACTTAATTGCAATTGAAGTTATTTTTTATCATTTATAAATTAATTATGAATTATTCTTTTTTTAAATATATAACATAAAAAATATTTTTAAAAATACATTTTTTTTTGGACATTGTACATTTTTTAAAGTAATGAAAAAAAGATTAAGGTCCATAACTCACCTTTCCAAAAAATGTATATGATATTGTTTTAAAACAGTTTTTTCTATAGAATTTTGCAATAAAAGTTATGAATTATAAAACTACTTAATAACTTTTTCTCTTTATTAAAATGTATTATTTTTTGATTGAATGTCTGTATTTGAAACGATAATAGTTTTCATAAAACAGTTCCATATACATAATTTCAATAGCTAGCGCGAAAACAATGTATTTTTTTTGTCCCTTTCTCAGCGTACAATTAAATTACTGATACAATAAAATAAAACTTTTTGATAAACTTTAATATACTACTTAGCATTAATAAGATATTATTTTACCAATTTTTTTTTTTTAAATCTACACTAAAAAATAATTCTTATTTTTTAATTTTTTGCAAATAAATATAAAAATTCAATAAATAAATAATATAACATTACTGATGATATTTTTATATTCCTCTAAAATATGATAAAATTTTTTTAAAAATGTTCATTGTATTAAAAATTATTAGGTTTATCAAATCATTGTATAGTTTATATATATATATACAGGTGGCCCACTACTCACTGACAACTTAAATAACTTTTGATCCAGTTAATATTTTTAGCTGATTTTTTTTTTAAATATTAGTTAGACGTTAGGTCTATAGCTATATCTCAATAATTAATTTTTTTACATTTTATTAAAAATATTAATTATTTTTAAATTTTAAATAAAATGTAAAAAAAAAATCTAAGATAGCTATTTTGTAGAGTAGAATTTAAGAAAAATTTTAGTAAAAAAATATCTTATTAATATTCAGTAGTAAATATTCTGTAGCGTTTTGAAGTTTGTGAAAATTTGAATTTTCATGTACTATTTTACGGTATTAAACATTGAAATACGTATTGAGAAAAGGACAGAAGAAAACGCTATCTTTTCAATATACTTTTGAATGAGAGTGATAAGTAATAATTGCCTTATCTAATTTCTTATCATGGTATTTATGCCAAGTTTGTAATGTATACACACTATCATCATATGTATACACAGTAATCATGAAAAGATAGCGTTTTCTTCTGTCCTTTTCTCAATACGTATTTCAATGTTTAATACCGTAAAATAGTACATGAAAATTCAAATTTTCACAAACTTCAAAACGCTACAGAATATTTACTACTGAATATTAATAAGATATTTTTTTACTAAAATTTTTCTTAAATTCTACTCTACAAAATAGCTATCTTAGATTTTTTTTTTACATTTTATTTAAAATTTAAAAATAATTAATATTTTTAATAAAATGTAAAAAAATTAATTATTGAGATATAGCTATAGACCTAACGTCTAACTAATATTTAAAAAAAAAATCAGCTAAAAATATTAACTGGATCAAAAGTTATTTAAGTTGTCAGTGAGTGGTGGGCGACCCTGTATACTCAATAATTTTTATCAAGTTTTACATATATATTTTAGAACAAATGAAATTAAAAAAATAATATTTCAACAAGAAGATTCAGCTAACTCAAATGAATTAGTTACTTTAATTGTGAGATTCACAGTTAAATTGTCACATAGTTAAAAATTCAAGATATAGATTGTATAAATTTACAAATAATATATAATAAATGGTCAAATAAATTTGACAATAATTAAACTAATACAGACATATAATTGACTACATAGGTCTCACCAAAAAGAGGCTCACTGCAATTCAGTATCTCTGGCTAAAAAAATTATATTCATTAATGTATGTATTTTTTTAGTATAGCTATTGAAACATAATATTAACATAAAAGAAACATAATATTTATCAACATTAATTTTAACACGCTTATATTAGCTTCATTTGTATGTTTGTAACTTTCCTTTTTTTGAATCGTACGTTTGTCGAACGGATTCTATTGTCGTTTTATTAGGTATTTAGGTATAGGATCAAAATTCTATGTTTCTACAAACGTATACTTTCGTCAAACGGATTCTATTGTTCTATTAGGTACACGACCTTCCAGGTATTGTTCGATGAACGTTTATGTTCCACGATTGTTTGCAATTTATTGTATTAACATAAATAAATATTTTGAATATTAAATTTATTATAATTAAAGCCAATAATGGTTGTAAATATTGTCTAAGAATAATCAATAAAAATAATATAATTACTAATAATTTATATGGAAGAAAAAATATGGTTTTAAATTGTGTTTTTTTAGTTTTTTTTAACTATATTTATTTTATTATTCATTTATTAAGAATTGTCTTATTGATATTAATTCTTTAAAATGTGGAAAAATTAATTTTAAATTTGACAAAAATCATGGTCCAGGTGAGGCTCGAACTCACAACCCCGGCATGGCTCACGACTACTGTCTTATAAGTACCGTGCGCTAACCGATTGCGCCACTGGACCCACGTGATTAATTTTCTAAAAACAATGTGTTTTGACTAGTACTTCATTTTAAATGGTAATAAATATAAAATCAATTTGTTCCAACACATTTATATAATTAAAACATTTATTTTATTATTTTAAAGAAATAAACTTGTTTCAAGTCCTTAACCTTGTAAACGATGACAGATAATAAAGCTAGGAACAATGTTTTAATATTTTTTAAATATTGGCAATCAGCCATAATTTATAGCAGCTTTTTAGCTTAAAAACAACTAATACCTTCTCAGCTTCGCATCAAAGCTAATAAATTCTTTTACATCAAAACTTAATAACTTATTTGATATTACACATATTGATGTTTTAGGCCTTATAATAATAGATGAAGATAGACTATTTTTGATAAATAAGAATAAAGATGGTTTTTAAATGATGTTAATTATAATAACTTTTTTTTTATATTTACGCTTTTATTAACCCATTAAGGGCCATAGCGGCCTCCCCCAAAAAAATAGGTTTCTTAACCTCCTTAATTACAAAAATAATCACGAAAAAATAGAAACTGAAAAAATAAACATTTTACAGGGAATGTTGAATTAAAATTTAAAAGACCAAATGATAGGTAAATACCTAAAGTATCTATAATAAAAAATAGTAGCACAGTGGGGTAGCGGCACAGTATGGAAGTGGCATAGTTGGGACAAGTATATATGATATCTGACAGTGATTAAAATCACTATCATAAGAAACGCTTCGATTATAATCTGTAGTTAGTGTTTAATTTTAAGAAATTGGTCAATTATTTCAAAAACAACAATAACTCTTATTCTCGTAATTTTATCCCGATTAGTTATTTGATTCATTATTATAATATATGAATAAATAACAATTTTAGTAATTAAATTTAGTATGAAATTGATATTCAATAATTTAATATTCTAATTTTTACGGATATATTATAAAAATAATAAAGTAGTAGTATATTTCTTTACTTTTAACGCATACAAAAATTTAAAGGGCTTAATGCAATACTTTTCAATAAAAAATGTTTGTTATTTATAACAAAGTTATAAGTTTTATACACTGGACTACAACTTTCATCAGAAACAAAAATATACATTTCTACATCAATTTTTTGCGATGTTTTCAAATGTGTAATTAGACTTTTTCTATCACTCCTAAGTTTTAATATTAATAATATTATTAAAAAATAAGTATTTACATATAAAAAAACAATGAAGAACAAAAAAAAATTGTTTTTAATTAATACTGATTTTGATTAATATGTTAAAAATAAAGAAAATTACATATTTAACTAATTTTTTTAATTCTTTAAAGTTGATTTTTGTGAAAGTTTATAGTTAAAAAAAATGTATTTACGACTATAACTTTTAGCTCAATTTGCAAGTTTGAAATTGACATCATTAAATAGGTAATTTTATGAGAATTAAAAAATTTGTATCGTTAAGATTAATATGCAGTCAAGAAATTGTATAATAACTATTTATAGTAAGTTTATCAGAAAAGTTCAAAATTTTTTTGCATTTTTATAGTTATAGATAACTTAAATAGAAATAATAGTAATCATTTCCTAGTAACTTTTGATGTTTAAATAGATTCTACAATTGAAATATGAACTAAATTAATTTTAATGATTTACTTTAACTAAAATAACTAAACAAAAAAAAGTTGTTATAAAGATCTAAAAATCCATTGTTAATTCAGGAGAAACTAACAATCATTTTTTTTAGGAATGATTTATATTGCAACATGTTATTAACAAATTTGGAATAATATAGTCTAGTAGTAGCACACACAAGTAGAGTAAAAAAATTATTAAATTACAAAGTAAAATGATTTAATTTTGTATTTGAAACCTATCATATCAAACTTGATTCGTCAATAAATATTTTGAAAACATTAGAAATTAATGATTTTAATTGTCTGTATGGAAAACATGGGATAACTAACTGATTAATTCATAAATTAGATTTTTTTTTCAATTTTTGAGGGTAATATCTTTAACTAGATACGAATTGTAGTGATTTGACGTATCGTTGAAAAAAGTAGATCAAGTTAGAGCAGAGAAAATAAATGATGGTCACAAAAAAATATCTTCTCAGCTTTGCATCGAAGCTAAAACCTAAAATATAGTTAAATAATTTTAATATGAATAAGAAATTTCTTCTCGCGAGTGGCGACTACAGTGATGGGATCCTTGATCTTTATTGAAGTTATTGAATCTAAATGAGATAAAAATCAAAGCAATTGAAAATGTTTTCTAAGTTAAAAAGAATTAAGTAAAAAATTAAAAAAATTCCTTGCCATACGTGGGTTAGAACCTTTTTCAAAGTTATTTTTCTCGACT